AGGTAGGCAACGCATATGCGATTGCGTATGTCTATGGGCAACGGTCACTTCGCTTTTTCAGCGATTTCGGGTGGCCGATTGCTCGTTTGCCACCTTTTGATATAAAAAAAAAATATCCATTCACACATTCCATACTTTCTTTGGTCTTCCTCTAACTTTGTAGCCAATATACTTCCATTGCTTTCTTATATACAAATATTAGACGAATTTTAGTGCAGCCGTATCTATAAATAAGTTTAACAGTACACCAACAAGGCAATTGGTAGATGCATTGCAATACGTTACAAGCAATCTGTCTGGAAATTTAACGTCTGGAATAGTTCACAAGCACAAAGCTCGTTGTGAAATTTCACTCAGCTTTTACGACGCCCCCGAGATAAGACGGTACGTCGGATTCTCTCATTTTACTACCATAACTTCAAATGACAATAACTTTGAATTTACAATGGCGCTGCGATGTAAAATCTAGGATCCGACAATTATCTGCAACATTGCAATACTATCGAAAAGTTTTTTTTTTATATTTGGAGTGCGACAAAGATCTCTTTGAAAATATAATATCTTCTAAGAGATGTAACTCGTTTTGTTGTTATCGAATTATTATAACTCTGGCTATCGCCCGCGAGTCAGTCCGATCGGAATAAAAAAAAATTGTCAAGATCCATTCAGCCGTTCTGGAGATATCTTCCAGCAAACATCCATCCTTCTATCCAAACATTCGCATTTATAATATTAGTAAGATGGTCACATTTAGAAAAGGAACTAAGAGAAACTACAGGGGGATCGATTTAAGCAGTAGGCTATTATTATTTTTACTACCAGGAAAAGGTTCTTATGAAAAAATCAATTCCAACTACCCTCACGCGTTCCTGAGAAAAAGAGTCTTGACATGCAGACAGACGGACAACAAAGTGGTCCTATTAGGATTGTTTTTTTTTCATTTCGATGTACGGAACCTTAAGAATATTAGGATATTTTAAATCAGGCATAGTCTGGAAAGCTACTCATTAAGTTTGCTTTTAATTAGAAAATTATGAAACATATACAGTTACCTTAATTCTCATTATCAGCTCACTATACGTCCCCACCGAGGGGCTCGGAGCCTACCCTAAGTTAGGGGTGTCAAGGCCATAGTCAACCACGCTGGCCAAGTGCAGGTTGGTTGACTACACACATATCTTTGAATTTCTTCTCAGATAACTGTAGGTTGCATCACGATGTTTTCCTTCATCGCAAGAACGTCGGATAAATGTGCATGTGTAAATCGAAAATTAAAAAACACCTTGGTGCATGGCGGGATTCGATCCTAGGACCTGCAGATTACAAGTCAAGTGCTGAAACCACTGAGCCACCGACGCTCTAACCTTAATTCTAAAGTAATAAAATTGGTGCGTCATTTTTAAAACGGTCTCATTAGATTAACTATAGCTTCGTCTATACAGCTCCAGTTTATTAGCATAATAACTCGTTAAGCCGGCCATCACTGGTCAAACTTGTATCTGCTTACTCAACCTTAATTGGAACATTAATTTATATCGATTACACTTAACTGTATTTTAGATTTACTTCGCTATATAATTGTAAATAATTTCATTGATTATTTGATTACAGTTTTATCAATGTATGTACTAATTGTCGCGCGCGAATTAAAAAAAATAACTAAATAAGTAGCTCATCTGTTCATCTAGAGTATGTTCTACATCCATGCCAAATTTCAGCAAGATCCGTTGAGCCGTTCTGTAGATATCTTCAAATAAACATTCATCCATCTGATCAGAACATAGTGTGGAAGAACACATATGCTACTAAATTTATTTTTAATTCCATGCGGTCGAAGTCGCGGGCAATAGCTAGTACTTAACGAAGCGTAAGCAATAACTAGTTTAAGCTACGGTAATAGGTTATTTAAAAAGTTAAATGAAGCCTAAATTGAAACTTTTCAAACTGTACGTTTAACTATAATTTACGATTTTATCTCTTCAACTTTCAGCGTACGCTCTATTTTAGTTTGAATATGCTTCAATGTTCTCTCATGTTTTACTATCCACCATCACAACCACAGAACTAAACTCGCCGTGTAATTTCATTATAACGCTAAATCCAAACTAAAAGCTTGTCTGTTGGTATGAAACTAGAATAATTATTGTCTTAAATATATTACGAATCAAATTTTATTAATGTTACCTACAGATAGTGAAATTTGAACAAATATAAGTTGCCTTTTTTTATGCATACTCCGCGCCCAGGGGGGGGACGCGGTAGTTATGTGGGATTCTCTTCCGGATGGAAAGCATACCCACTAAACCCCTCTGTTCCTCCTACACACCATGGCGAGGCCACGGACACGCTTGCGCTTTCGTCCGCGACCTCGCCTGCGTCAGCTGCCGAAGCAGCTCCCAAGATATAAGTTGCATGAATTGTTTATCGAAAGAGTTCACTAAGGGACATGTATTGATACTTAGTGCAGCTTAATTTTTAATTAATGTTCAGGTTGCTGCCTATATATAATTTGCTTAGTCATATCAGGCATAGGATACAAAATTTCAGTGAAAACCGAATTTTGGAGACAGTTAAAATTTCGCATAGTTGTAGAACATAGCCTGGAAGAATACATAGACTATAAAGTGTTTTTGTTTTTAATTTCACTCAGACAGAGTCGCTGGCGACTAGTAGTCTTAATTAACGTCACACTTAACAAAGATAATGTTTTAAAAGTTGCAAGTAACAAAACATGAAAGGTTAATTATTACGTCAGATTTTTTTAAGTAAATAGGTGGCCAGTTCGTCTATAAATCTATCTATTGTATGAGTTATTATAGATCGAAAATATAAACTGGAGATAGGAAGTCAAAAATTCATTTCCGTGGAACAATATTTGTTAAAACAAACGAAAATCTCGTCAATATGGAAAATGGAAAAGTTCAATACAAAACATCGGGAAACTTTTTGTGAACGCCAAATGTTCATAGGCAGGATTTGAAATTTTCAATTCCAAAACGATAAGCCAAAAGGCAAGTATTAAAAAGTTTAAACCACCATTGGATATCTGAATGAATGAACATTAAAAAAATGCTTAACTTTTCACTGGCAAAAACAAAAGAACTTCACCAACGAGACTTTTGGTTGTACAATCCGTTTCCACTACAGAAACCTTACCAATATAAGTTCTGGAATGGTCATTTTGTTTCATCATCATCAGCTCACTAAACGTGATCACTCATATCTTTGAATTTCTTCTCAGATATGTCCAGGTTGCATCACAATGTTTTACTTCACCGTAAGGACGTCGGATAAATGTACATATGTTTATCGAAAAACACATTATTGCATAGTGGGATTCAGATCCGGGACTGATTACAAGTCAACTGCCTAACCCCTGAGCCACCGACGTGAAACAGGACCGCTTTATAAAATTGTTATAAATAATTCTGTATCGTTAATTACTTTAGCCATTTAAATAAAATATACAAAGTTAGAAACACGAGAGAGGAATAAGCCGCAGGACAAACAAGATAGTTGTCACACTGTTTGCAAGCTACAACTTTCTGTTGTTTGACTTTGTAGTGCCCTGTTTAAATTCGTCTTGTTCTGCTCTATGAACATCAGTTAATATTGTATTTAGTAGAGTTTTAGTCAGCGACTTTGAATCCCACTAAAGTTTGAATCAGTTCAAAATAATTAAGTTATTAGAAAAGTCGAAACTGGTGAATTTGCTTGAATTGGAATCATGTCCTTGTTCGTGTTTTCATTGAAAATTCTGTGATCAAAATCTGTTACTTATTGTCGCATTTAGAATCCTTTAAAGTTTATTTACAATTGCTTAGTGTAGATTTTTCGTACTAAATATTTTTTTTTATATCATAAGGTGGCAAACGAGCGAGCGGTCACCTGAAATCGCTGAAATAGCGAAGCGACCGTTGCCCATAGACATACGCAATTGCATGCGTTGCCTACATTTAATCGGCGGAGGAGAGGATGCACAGAAAGAAAATATTTTCCCTTTCCACATCCTCTCATCCGGAAAGTCCACTTCCACTTCCCAGCCTTTCCTTATAAGAAAAAGGGTGGGAAGGGAAAGAGGATTAATTTTGGCCTCCGGGATGCACACTCATCAGACGAAACGCGGAATTGCTTCCACGTCACGCCCGTCTTCTCGTCGTGGTATTTCACCAGGCGAGCCGGGCTGATTCGTGCGAAGATGTTAAAGCGGGCTCTACCACTGTTAAAATATACACTAAGGGATTCGAGTTTCTGATAGAGACACCCTTAAGATATTGAACATAGTTGTGTTGAGTCGAGTACAGGGTTGTGAATACTTTTTTTTATCTATATTTTGAAGATTACAACACAAAAATTTATTTGTAACTTTTATAATATAATTATTACATAAGTCTTGATAATTCTTTATCAAAATCTATTACTTTCTTTGAAATTTGTGAAAAAATGCCTTTGAAACTTTTCCAATCAATGCGTTTCTTGCGGAAGCCAGATTTACAGCCGTAGCCGCGAATTGATATACGAAAATAAATCTTGGAATTTCCTTTAAGGGGTTCCGCATTACGTTGGAAATTGTACGGATTCAATCGTAATAAATTCTCTTATTTATATCTATTTCAAAAACCTCTTAGACTAGCTGATTACGTTAACAGGCATCCTATAGCTTAGTAAATGTTTGGGACGGATTTCGTGGTTTTATCCACTATGACCACCAAATCAAAGCATCAGATTTTAAAAAATTTATCATCATCATTCACCATCAGCTCAGTATACCTCCTCATTTAGAGACTCAGAGCTTACCCCTATGTTAGGGGTGACTAGGCCATAATCAACTACACTGGTCCAGTGCAGTTTGCATAAAGATGTTTTCCTTCACTGTAAGAACCAATTATCAACAATAAAATCTTAACCTTTTTATTCTCTAGTATAGAAAACAAAAAGGCATGCGCATAACTAAATTTGTTAACTTGACCAAATTAACATGAACCATTATTTTCTATAAGGTGAACCACCGATCAGATCAAGATATGCCAGACTGACAGTACTCGTCCCTCCAGAGCCGCCGAGGATACTGCAAAGTCCTATACTTCAAGCTGTTGAAGACCAAGAAATTGATCTGGAATGTGTATCTGTAGGAGGAAAACCAGCTGCTGAGGTAAATTTATTTCTATTACTATTCAAATAAGACTCAGAATTAAGTGTCGGTTAGTATATTTTGGTCCAACAAATATTTATCTTGGGTATTTTACACAACTCACTTTTACAACTTGATGTTGTTTTCATTTTTCTTTTTATCAAATCCATTACCATAACATTAAGAAAAATATATCAATTCCTTTTAGCTAATTATTATTGTTCCATAAACTTTCGGTTCCCGCATAAAATAAAGTTTAATGGAAACAGTAGATTAAGCTATTACCTAAAACAACAAGATAACTTTGACCCTCTTGATGTCTTTTCTAACATAAAAGAAGCATTAAACAGCATTTTAAGATTAGTTAAAAGATAACTAATGAATCGAACGTACCGCTATCAAAGGTTTAACAAATCTTATATTTAGAAACAAATTAAACAGAGTCCTATATTATCAGCGAACATTCAGTTACAGGCTTTTATTAATTCCATTAACACGGTCGATTAGTCAACCATTAATATTGTAATAAATTGAACATTGACAATGATTACATGGAGTTAGATTAATTGTGTTTATCTATTTCAACTATGTAAACTCGCAGACAATTGCTTGATGTTAGCTGGGTTAGTTTACTACGATAATGCCGTTTTACGAGCATTCATTAACCACTGAGTCTGAGAATTCTTAGTATTAAGTTCCTAATGGACCGTGTGTTACTCCGATTGCTCGTGTTGTGGCCTGGTAATGATACGAACAGAACAAAAGATCAGTAAACAGCTGGGTTGCTTGTTTGGAATTGTTTCTTGTAATTTATGGTTAGATTTTAAACATATCAAATTTAGATCTCTTACTGATGGTTTTTAAGACCTAAATCTCTGCATCAAACATTACGTCGTCTGTTATCTTTGATGCAACAGAGATAAAATGCTTTATGTATTTTTGGTATCTGCTTAGTCATGTTTTGCTTATTATGTCTATAGCTCTGTGATGCAGAACACATATCTTACATTTCAATCAGCAAATCAAAAATTCAAATTTCAAAATTTCTTAATTAATTTCTATCTATTCGTTATTTTCCAATTCTAATCTATTTGCCATATGTTTGGTGATTAGTCTCTGAATTATTATGCTGAAATTAATCCAACTCTTAAAATGTTTAATGCCTTTATAATAGTTATCAATATTGCAGATAACGTGGGTGGATGCTGAAGGCGGAGTGCTGACGCATGGCGTCACGTACACTGTCGAGCAGATGGCTGACGGCCGCAGGTTCACTGCGAGGTAACCTTTTGCTGCTTTCAATGAGTTTTATTTTATGATAGCTAAAACATTTGTAACATAAAGTAAAATAGCCTAGATTTCTGAGAAATTTGGAGTTCGAATATTCTGGTGATTCTTTTTGAAAGAAATTTGAAAATAATTAATATTTGTAAGTTCGAAAAATAGCGAAATATGTACAAAGAGCACACAAAATACAGTCAACGGCTTTCTTAAATAAGTGACTTACAAACAAGCTCAAATCAAACTTCGTAGTTTTTTTTTCTATCTTTAATTATTTTTTTCCATTCTATAAAGTTAATGTATACCATAAGGGTTTCTTTAATATAGTATACAATCAGTTTGACTTTTGTAATCAACGTTTCTTAAATTATGGAAATTTTAAAGGATCGTATATTTTGTAGATCCGTCCTACATCTTCGTCCTAGAAGAAGTTATCACAATCAGACGTTCACGTGCCAAGCTCAGAATACAGCAGATCGGGCTTATAGAGCTGCTAGTATCAAACTACAAGTAAGTAAATTATAAAATATATTTTAAAGAAATTAAGAACACAGACTGAGAAACATTAGGAAAAATAAACGGTTGTATCTTTTGATTGCGTTGGCTTAGAACTTTAATTTTTTCACAGCACCTACCGACCGCAGATCTGAACGTTTGATATAAATTCCAGCTTGATACCTTGACGCGTTTTTGAAAAAGGATCTTGACAGACGGACGGACGGACAACAAAGTGATCCTATAAGGGTTCCGTTTTATTCCTATGAGGTACGGAACCATGAAAACGAATCGAAAGACATTTTTGAAAAACTTGCTCGCTAAAACCTTTCTGTAATTTTAACTAGTTATAAATATTGTAATCGCATTTTTGTAAAGATTTATTTAATAATATCCTCGTATATAATATTATTAAATTGGTGAATAAATACTTTATCAGAATTATTAAACAGGTAAAATTGGTACTCCAATCTCGCCAGTTAAGCGATTCGTTAGCAAAATCAGACGAAATCATTTCCGATTTATGTTACCAAACTTCAGTTGTAATGGGGCACGGCCACTTTATTTCCATAATGCCAGTTTCACACGAAGGTAGTACAGTGACACAGTGTAGCAGAACGCAGAATATTGAGACAGAATTGAACTTGACAATAATTGTCACAGTCAGAATCTTTGGTCAAAGAAAGCCTTTAATACAGAATTCGCAAACTAAATATACACTAAAAGGAGACTTGTTTTTTTTATATCATAAGGTAGCAAACGAGCGAGCGGCCACCTGAAATCGCTGAAGTAGCGAAGTGTCCGTTGCCCACAGGCATACGCAATTGCATATGCGTTGCCTACTTTAAATCTACGGAGGATGCACAGAAAGAAAATATTTTCGCGACATCCGAAAAGTGCACTTCCACGTTCCATCCTCACCTTATAAGTAAAATGGTGGGAAGAGTAAGAGGATTAAAATTCGGCCTCGGGGACGCACACTTATCAGACTGTCTTCTGTGTGGTCGTGGTATTTCACCGGGCGAGCCGGGACAATTCGTGCGAAGATGTTAAAGCGGGCTCTACCACAGTTGTTAAATAGTCTTCTCAGAAAAAATAGGAGTACTGTATTGTCTACTGCTCTGTGTCACAGTTTCGCCCTCGTGTGAACTCAGTATAACCGAGGGATGGGGGATGGCGGTTTTCAAACGCTCCTAAAAATGAGATAATTTGCAGAGCCGATTAAGCCGGCATTTATTTAAGATTTTATGGTTGAAGTTTCCTTGGGCGCCTATTTTCCTTGCATAATTTTTATATTAAAGGTAGATACGGTAGAACAAGATTCGTCCACTTTTTCTTATGTCTAATGATATCGTGCTTGGAATTGATAGGAATCTTGACTTTTTTAAAGTCAGGAGGATTCACAAAATTGGATTGCTGTCTAGATAAATCCTATTTGTTTTGCTCATTTTAACTATACTTATAAGTAGATATATAATCAGATTCTTATGTTACTAATATTATAAATGCGAATATTTAGATGGATGTTTGTTTTAAGGTATATCCAGAACGGTTAAACGGATCTCGATGAAATTTTGGCTATAAAACATAGTCTTGAAGAACACATAGACTATTCATTTTTTTATTTCTGCGCGGACAGTCGTGGGTGTTAACTAGTTTAACATAAATATAAGAAGGGATAATTTAAAAAGAAAAATTCTTTCGAAAAACAAACTTACAATATATATAATTTTCAATTCGTAAAAGTAGGAAATATTAAGTAACGAATCAAGTTTGAACATCATCAATCATCAAATGGAACAAAAATAGAAATTGGTATGTTCATAAAAATCCAAACAAATAAAACAAAAGCCAGCATCGATTCTTCTTGCACACATAAATTACTCTCTAAGCCGGCACCAATAAACGTATATAAAGAGAGGAAAGTAACGAAATATAGAAACAGATGGAAGAAAAACCACACCGCAATTTTTGTACGTCGTTGCTGGAAAATTTGCCAATTCGACAGCACGACACGTCCGCTATTAGTTGGTCTGTGAGACGTGATACTAGAGAGATGAATATTTGAACTTGTCAGTAGGTAAGTTGGAGAGGGGAGGTCAGGTAATGCTGGTAGGAATTTTATACTAGTAAAGTGAAAATAAGAGGGGCTGTGTAAAGCTCTAATTTCGTGACGACGTTGGAGTGTCAGCAATTCTTGTATATCAGAGGAATATCTGTAAATAAACGTCTAGTTTCTTTTCCCTTTCTAAAAGTTTGTTAAATTATATTAATGCTTTAAGAAAATCACATAATGAGGTATCAAAAAAGGCAACCAAAAAGGTATTTTAATGATTCTAAGTCTCGTTACGTTCAACATCATCAGCTCACTATACGTCCCCACCGAGGGGCTCGGAGCCTACCTTTAGTTAGGGGTGCCTAGGCCACAGTCAACCACCCTGGCCCAGTGTGGGTTGACTTCACACATATCTTTGAATTTCTTCGCAGATATGTGCAGGTTGCATCACAATGTTTTCCATCACCATAAGAACGTCGGTTAAATGTACATATGTAAAACGAAAATTTAAAAACATTGTTACAAGGCGGGATTCGAACCCAGGACCTGCAGATTACAAGTCAAGTGCTTTAACCCCTGAGCCACCGACGCTCAAAACGTTAACGCTCGTTACGTTAAAATAGCTGAATTATTTAATGAGAGTAACAAAATCTATGACATTTTAGTGATGTAAAAATGTCCTAACTTTGATCGAAACTTTGACTTTGAAGGAAAAAATGTTGGACGCGTCTTGTTTGTTAAATAGGCCGTTAACTGTTACGACAAACGTTTGTTTTAGTCGTCTGTTCGTCAAACTCAGAGTTGTTCGTGTACTTTTAATTTTGAGAAAATATTAAGGGTATTCCTTAATCTTTGGGTACGGTAGTGGAATTGTAGAATCGATAGGACAAAAACGTCGATGTAAGCGATTTAAAAGGCCATTGTTGAGATCTGAAGCGATCGCATTATACTTTTAAATATATTCCCTTGACTGTAACGACTTTCAAGAGGTCAAAGGTGTGCTTTTAACAGCCTATGTAAGCAATTAGGGGGAAAGCTATAAGTCGTAGCTTAGAAGTGCTTTCAAGCGAATGTATGATTTTTCATTTTTTCAACACTTGCCAGATGTTAAATTTTGAGCTTGTTTATTTTTTTAGTATGTTTATATTGCTAGAAATAAATTCGGAAATGAGGCAGTGTATTGACTCAACTAGCCTTACTAAAATGTCGACGTTTATGTCCCCTTGATATTCATTCTGACACTAGACTTTGCAACGAAAGCACGTCATTCGCGTCAAAGGATTGTTAGATGTAAGATTCTCTTCATAAATACATATTTTTACATAATACAGATCTTTCTAAGATTAGTTAAGTTTGCTTCTAAAATAATGAAAAACCGTGGGTTTCCGATATTAAAGTTTCCATTAAAAACATATTGTCAAAAATTATGACAAGTCAGATCTTTATTCAGAGATTTCGGTCTCGGAAACCAATGGTAAGTGATCTATAAAATTAAAATTTATAATTATATAACGATTAATATCACACTTAAATGCATGTTATAAAAGCGAATATTTAGATGGATGGATGGATGTTTGTTATAAGGTATCTCCAGAACAGCTCAACGTATCTTGATGAAATTTGGCACAGATGTAAAACATAGTCTGGAAGAATACATAAGCTACTAATTAAGTTTTTTCTTTTTTGATTAACTCAGTCGCGGGCAACATTTAGTATTTATATATATAAAAATCAATTTCTGTTCGTTAGTCTCGCTAAAACTCGAAAACGGCTGAGCAGATTTATCTTATCTTGGTCTTATGTTCGTGGAGGTCTAGGGAAGGTTTTAAAGTTTAGAAAAATTTGAATGATTGCCGGGAACTAATTATTTTTTTTTATTGCATGCGCACAGAGTCGGGGGCGACAGCTAGTATAATAAAAATATATTCATATATGTACCTCTTGAACAATCACTTGACAGACACTTTGTAGTGTCGCCGTGTCGCGTTAATACCCTTGCCATTTATGGCTTCGTCTAGACCTGAAGCTTCATTGGACACCGAGTAATGTATCCCTCGGTGGGGAATAAACTGAAGAGCATGTTAACATTTTAATTACATTGTAAAGGTACAGTTAAAGAATTAAATTCACAGCCCACTTAGGATCGAATATCACTAGGATTCTGTAATGACTTATCTCTACCAAAGATAATTTGCGGCACAATATGTGATCACAAGTTTAGTGGAGGATAAGAGCTATATGTTTAGACCGAAGTTATTTGAACCAGCGCAAGACAAACTAAATTATGATAGCCCACTAACAAGCAACTATCAAGTGTCATAAAATTATTTTCGTAATGTATCTGTCTTGTGTTTTTACTTTTATGTCATTATCTGTTGCTAACTAGGTTTGACATATTTTTACCAGAGCCAACCGCGATAGTAGCGCCGCTCTCGCAGTACTAGATTGTTGCACTTTCAAATTGTACTACAGGTAGGAAATAAATTTCCTTAACTGTACGTCAGATTGAGTGTAGAAACATTGTTATTTAAATGTGAAAACCTAGTATCTTATCTTACTAATATTATAAATGCGAATGTTTAGATGGATGGATGGATGTTTGAAGGTATCTCGGGAACTTTGGCATAGATAGGCTACTTATTAAGTTTTGTTTTAATTCCGCGCGGAAGAAGTCGCAGGCGACAGCTAGTTTAATATGAATTAGAACGAAATACGACAAGACTATAATGTTGAAAAAAATATGTTAATTTTGATTGAGGTTATAAATTTCATTATATAAAATTATGCCTATTATGAACCTAAAGGTTTATAAGAGCGTCTATTAAGTTAATTATTTTAATATGGCGTTAGGAAGAAACACTGTTAAAGAAAGCTTCTGAGACAAAAAGCACCGTTTAAAACATAATGTTCTTACTGTTTTGATTACCGGGATGAGGATTTGTTTTTAAAAATCAGATATTTAACGGTTATTATACGTTCCTTTTATTTTTGATTTCAACTTTCTTTTTTTATACAATAAAGTTACTAACTTTTTCCCGCGACTTTATCCGTATGGAATAAAAAAACAGGCTACTGGTTAGTCCAAACAGTAGAATATCGCTGTGCCAAATTTAAAACGGATCCATTTAGCCGTTATGGAGTTACCTGCTAACATTCAAACACCTAAAATTTCGTATTTGTAATATTTGTAAGATTTGCCTCCTCGCATGAAATATTTCAAAAATAAATCTGTTTTTAAATATTGCCGAATTTCGATCAATGAACGACCTCTCATCATCATTAGCTCACTATACGTCCCTACCGAGGGGCTCGGGGCCTACCCTAAGTTAAGGGTGATTAGGCCATAGTCAACCACGCTGGCCAAGTTCGGGTTGACTTCATACATATCTTTTCATTTCTTCTCAGATATGCGCAGGTTGCATCACGATGTTTTCCTTCACCGTAAGAACGTCGGATAACTGTACATATGTAAATCGGAAATCGAAAAACAAATTGGTACATGGCGCGATTCGAACCCTGAGTCACCGACACCTTTAGTAGATATAATGAAAATTTCAGTAATTTATTTAATCTTTTTCTGTACTTATGTACAAAGTTCAAATTCATAAAAGAAAATAAAAGAACGTTGACATTAACAAAACCAATTTTCTACGTTTCCTTTCCTTCATTTCTTCTAAAAACTTCGATATCGCTCTAATTGTGCTTGATACGATTATTGCTTTTTTTCTTCGAGCAAAAACTGACTTTATGAATATTAAAAAAGTAAAGGTGAGACTACATTAATAAAAAAATGCAGGTATTTTTTTCTCAAAATGAATTTTACGAACAATCACAACTTTGATATGTCTATGTCAGTCAATTAAGCAATCTATAGATAACTAGCTGTCGCCCGCAACTCCGTCTACCCAAAAATAAAAAAAAACCTCCTAATTAGCTATGTGTTCTTCTACACTATGTTCTACATCTATGTCAAACTTTAGCAAGATCCATGGAGTCGTTCTCAAGATACCTAACAAGCATCCATCCATCTATCCATATTAATATTCGCATTTATATAATAATAATATTAATTAAAATTATTAAGATTTGTTAAGTAATATATTCTTTTTAACTAGTGTGCACTCACCTTTATAATATCTTAACAGAAGTCAACTTAGAGAGAAATTTTAATGAATCCCGTATTTATTTTTCTTTCGTAAAATTAACGAAATTCTGCTCCGTTATTTCTTCAATGGATATATTTAATGTGACATGGTTGAAAGGCAAGCTAAATGGAAACGTCAGGACTTTAAATGTTATGTCTTTTTGTTGCTGTAATGATATATTTAAAAGAAAGACGTTAAGCTGGTCTTCTATAGATATATTGGAATGTTTTGTAAGTCAACATACTTTTCTTACGGTTAATAATGTGTAAATGACGGTAGCCTCAACTTGATAGGTTTTAGAGTGAGTTTTCATTTCCAAAAAGTACGAGTATTTTTATTAGAAAATGATAGATTTTTTTTATATCTTAAGGTGGCAAACTAGCGAGCGGCCACCTGAAATCGCTGAAATAGCGAAGTGACCGTTGCCCATAGACATACGCAATTGCATATGCGTTGCCTACCTTTAATCGACGGAGGAGAGGATGCACAGAAAGAAAATATTTTCCCTTTGTATGCATCCTCTCATCCGGAAAGTCCACTTCCACTTCCCGTCCTTTCCTAATAAGAAAAAAGGTGAGAAGGGAAAGAGGACTAAATTAGGCCTCCGGGACGCACACTCGTCAGACTGCACGCGGAATTGCTTCCACTTGACGCGTGTCTTCTGTGTGGTCGTGGTATTTCACCGGGCGATCCGGGACAATTCGTGCGACGATGTTAAAGCGGGCTCTACCACTGTTAAACTTTTTTTATGAGTGTTTGAGTATTTGACACAATGAGTTAATGAATATTAAAATGTATATTTTTTGTCCAAGGTTCAATACGCGCCAAGAGTGAGGATTTTCATCAAATCTAGTGTGAAAAACAATAGAATCCAGGAAGGTGATACATTGATTTTAGGTGAGTCTTTTATATTTGCTGTAGATATGTGACTGTAGAAGAAGCGAGAGAGGTGTTAGGACCCCGTCAGATGGAGGTCTGTGGTCTCTGTCTACCCCTCTGGGTTATTGTTGCTGTAAGCCGGTGTATTAGTTATTTTTTGAGTTAATTTGGATAACAATTTGAGTTAATTTGGATTCAAAACGTTAAAGTCTACTATATGTAAAAAAAATTGCTTACAATTTTAATAGAAGGTGCAATTTAAAATTAAATTTTCTCGGGCGCTTTATAAAAGATGTATTTAAAAAGAAAATAAAAAAGCAACAATACTTTATCTGAATATTTTCTCACTTCATTTTTATATGGAAAAAGTTTTTACTACAGGATGTTTCAAAATGTAATACTTTACAGGTTGTCAAGCGACAGCGAATCCAAACAATCTAACGTACAAATGGTTTGTTAATAATGATCAAATCATTGGAAATGTAAACAATGAAATTGTAAGTACAATTTTTATAAAAAATTATTCTATCATTTACTAATATTAGGAATGTAGAAGATGGCGGCGATGAGAGAATTAAAACTGTGAGTTTCCACTAGCGTAACCTATACAAAAACATTTCTGTTTAACCACAGAGAATAAAAGAAAAGGGGACATATATATGTTGCGTAATATAAACGCGATTAAAATAACAAACTGATATGATAATATTTTTATATCAAAAACCTAGCAACATACACGCCACTTGCATTTATTATAGATAAATTTATTCCTTGCTTTTAATTTTACAAGTTACATTTGCATGTAGCCGTCTCAAAAAACTCCCGAGGGACGTTGGAAATTTTCAAATTTCGTCTTGGCACACTTGCCCACCTGCAGTATGCATTTTGCATTACCCGAGCCACATTCGAGAGATATGTATACAAAATAAATAAATTAAACTTGAATAATGCGCTGAATTATCTTGGTTCATGGGTTTCTGTGGCTTCGCTAAATATGCATGAATTTACCTTTACTCGGCGAACATAAATTTAATGCATTTTAATTATTAACAACTACGGTTCACTTTTAAACAATTTATTACTTCGAAATATTAAAAAAATAGGTTGATATAATTTCTTTACCGTAATTCTACTAATAATAGTGTTTATTAATTGTATTATATGACACTAGTTGTAATAAAATTAAAACATCCTGTACCTAGAACATCGTTAGTCTAAACCAGAGATTCCCAAACTTTAATTTTCACATAGAGTCTTTTCTAAATTATATGTATGTAAAGAAATGTACTTTTAGGGTAGGGTTCAATTTGTAAACACTCAACTTTATTCTCGACATCGTAAACCTCTTTAGTCCCTCATGGACCCCATGGGGTCTACATGAGCCTTAAGAATACTCCCCTTTCTTTTATAAAGTAGAAGTTTTAGGTTACAGTACATTATTTCCATAATATATGTATCTTAATTAAGTTATATACATATAAGTTTATATGTCATAAATACAAGAAGTTATATTTCTCGATATAAGTAAGTTGGTTAGTTAGAATCGTTACAGCGGGTACGAGAATTGTCAATAAGGTACCGCCAACCAATACCGACACGTTTGTGGTCGTTACTTTTATATTTTTACACTCATGTGAAATCGTGCTTGCGTCATAAAACCTCTTTTTCACTAAGCGATTTGTCTTGCGACTTTAGCGCTGACTATGAACACAAATCAATCAACAAAAATCAAATAAATTGGTTGTAAAACAGACATTTTTTAAATGAATCTAAGAACAATTTAACTTTAGTTTTAAAGTTTGTTTCGTGTTCTAATAGCAAAGCCGCGATTGAATATAGAAATAGTAGTCAGTCTTTTAGTGGAAAAGGACCTTAAGGCTTCATAAAGGTTTTGTTGCAGGTGATACCGAATGTGTCTCGCAAGTATAACGAGGCGACTGTAAAATGTGAGGTGCACAATACAGTCGGCAAAAGCGCAGATACCAAAACACTAGAAGTGGCATGTAAGTTTACGAATTATGTTAATTCCGATTACTTAGCTGACTATGAGTGGTATATTAACTGATAATGGACACCATTGGTGTAGATTTTATTTACTAAATCTAAACTAAAGAAGACTTAACTCTCACTTTTAAGTTTTATTTTTAATTATTGTGCAGCGCGTATGTGACTCAACCGTTGAGAATATATTAGAAGGATCAAGCCATTCCTCAAAGCGTAGTCGTTAAATATGAGAGGCTAACAATGAGCGTGCTCATAGTCGGTAGCTGATTATACGTTAAACATAAACCTCAATATTAAGGAGATTCTAAGATTTTGTTCATTAACTGTTGTATTGCATGAAGAATTTTAAAATTTGATTACTACTTGTACAGAGTTTGATATAATGTTATTTTCTAGATGGTCCTAAATTCAAAGTGAAGCCACAAAATGTTGAAGGAGATTCAGGTTCGATAGCCACAATGAACTGCGTTGTTGATGGTCATCCATTACCAAAGATAACTTGGCTACGATATGAAAATGAAAGGATAATTGTAAGTTTTATCATCAGCTCACTTCTCCACTGAGGGGCTCGGAGCCTACCCTGAGTTAGTGACTAGACCATAGTCAACAACACTGGCCTAGTGCAGTGCATCGCGATGTTTTCCTTCACCGTAAGAACGTTTGATAAATGTACATTTCATAATCGAAAAACACATTGGTGCATGATGGGATTCGAACTCAGGACCTGCAGATCCTTAACCACTAAGTCACCGAAGCTTTCTAAGTGTTGTTACCTCCGGTCTTTATGCTTTGCTAGTCTTTATCTTATTCAAGACTACTATGACGTCATTAGATTGTTTAATTGTTATACAGAGAGTTGGCAAATCAACAAACCTAACAGTAACCGTAACAAGGCAATCCGCGGGGCAGTATTGGTGTAGAGCAAGTGTTGAAGGTTATCCTGACATCGAAACATCAGCTATGGTCTTTGTTAAAGGTAAGAAATATTTATAAGTACCTATTTCCACTAGTCTTTATTACTTTAGCAGCGGTCGCACTAGTGGAATGGAAGTAAAAACTTATTGTAACTCTAGAAGTTTGTCTACGAGACTAGAAAGCGCTAAAGTAACATCTAAATAAATAATTCAAGTTTGCTTTTAGCTTTAAATGTAATGAATCTGTTCGATGATTGTTTAGATTTGGAGTTTTTACTTAATTAATCAACTTTCCTTGTTGTTTTATAACTTAAGTATACAAATAGATATTAAATATTAAACTACGAATCAATTATAAGAATATTTAGTAGTTTATTATAAAAATTATTAGACTGGAGTAAATTATTAAGTTAAATAGTCAAATTAATTTGGATAGAATACGGAGTTCACTAGAGTCGGATAGTTCGTTCTATCCGCCTTTAGTAAACTCCCTCAAACTCTACCAGATTTGTAGCTTTCCCTAAATGATTTCCCTTGGAATTGATAGATAATTTTTTGTTTAAGGTCCACCGAAAATCATATCAAATAGAACACAATATGGTGTAGAAGGAGACAGCGTTAGAGTTGAATGTATATCTTTCTCTGTTCCGAAACCAGATTTTGTGATTTGGAGTTTTGAAGGAAATGAAATTAATTCATTCCATAATCACGTAAGTATACTTTGAGGGTAACATTTTTAATAATTATATTCCTTTATTTAAATGTAGATTAAAGTATTAACCTTTCCTGATTTATTACTATTATTATTTACTAGCTGTCGCCCATACTCCATCCGCGCGGAATTAAAAAAAACTTAATAGGTAGTCACTTATGTGTTCTTCCTAATCAAGATCCCTCCAGGCGGTCTGGAGATACCCTTAAACGTACATTCATCTATCTATATAAACTTACTCATTTATAATATTAGTAAGTTTTTTTTTTCTTAGTACCAATCATTTTTTTTTACAAAATATTTATTTACAGGAATATGCATTTCTGGAAGAGACATTAACTGATCGTACAAGTAAATCAACATTAATAATACGCGAGAGTCAGGTGAAACACTTCGGTACTTACAACTGTAGTGTAACTAACTCGTATGGAACGGATACGGTCGAGATTAATCTGATACCTGACAGTAAGTTTTTGTGCACTGATTAAATATTAAAAACTAATATTTAATAATATATATACTAATAATATATATATACACACATATATATATATATTAGCAGATTTTTTTTGGAAATTTACTAATATTTCTTTTACCATTCCAACTAAGCTCTAGGCTTGTGCTAGGATATGGTTTACGACAATAGTCGAATGACGGGATTCGAACCCCCGACCTCGTGATCGCAAATCCGTATCCTAATGGTTGCATTAGGCTATTGACGCTAATAATATTCTTCTGAGGAGAGAATATGAAACGTTACCCACTTCACTATACGTATACGTCACCACTAAGGGGCTCGGTGCCTACCCTAAGTTATTGACTAGGTCATAGTCAACCACGCTGGCTAAATACGGTTTGACTTCACACATATCCGAACTCACTCCGAAAACGAAAATTATAATAGCTAATTTTTTAATTAATGAAAATAATATCACACAGGTAACTAATATAATAGCTGTATCCAAAATATTGAACGCAGTTAAATATTGTCAAATATAAATTAATATATTTCAAGATGGATTTTTACTTTTTCTATTCCTAAATTATTCCTCCCAAGTAGAGTTGGTGTCAGGCAAGCGGCCGGTAGAAGAAAAGGCAAAACCTTAAGGTTTATAAAAACCTTGTAGCCTACCCCACATGAGTGAGATAAAGCCAGAAAGAGATGCTTCTGTTTTTAATATAAAGCTAACATTATTCCTTATTTTCAGAATCCTTTAATCTCCTCATAATAATCAGTGGTGCAGCAGGCTCAGCTATTCTTCTATTAATAGTGATGTTAATCGTTATGTTGTGTCATCGCAAATCTAACAACACCGATGTAAAGAAGCCTGACATCACAGATGTTGGCAAAACTTGTGTCGATCAGTTCAAAGATAGTGATCGCAATTCTAATATCAGTGATTTGAAGATGGAACTGAGACAAGTTGAAGGCAGTTGTGATATGGTATGAGCAATTTTAAATAAATATTTTTTATTTTCTATTCTTCTAAGGTTTTTTTTATGTCATAAGATGGCAAACGAGCGAGCGGTCACCTGAAATCGCTGAAATAGTGAAGTGACCGTTGCCCATAGACATACGCAATTGCATATGCGTTGCCTATCTTTAATCGACGGAGGAGAGGATGCACAGAAATAAAATATATTTCCTTTCCATGCATCCTCTCATCCGGAAAGTTCACTTCCACTTCCCATCCTTTCCTTATAAGAAAAAGGATGGAAAGAGGACTAAATTAGGCCTCCGGGACGCACACTCATCAGACTGTAGTTGGAATTGCTTCCACTTGACGCGTGTCTTCTGTGTGGTCGTGGTATTTCACCGGGCGAGCCGGGCCGATTCATGCGAAGATGTTAAAGCGGGCTCTACCACTGTTAGTAGAAGAAAGAAAGTTAAGCTATTTAGGTGATGTTATATAACAGTAGGAATTTAGTAAAGAGAATGAAATTAGGCTCTTGTAAAAAGAAATATTCAAACATGATTTATTAATATGTTAATGTATTAGAAATCTACTCTTAGGGAGTCTCTTAGAGTAGATTTTGTTTGTAAACTCTGATAGTATATGTTCCTCTCGTCTAATGTTTTTAATTTATAGCACCAAAACATCTTCTTTCTTAGACTTCAAATAGATTTATTGAGAATTATTCCAGGATCTTTCCAACAATGGTTCGGAAACTGAACTCCATTCGACTTTACATCTGACTACGAATCTCGGGTTGCCTCTCGCTGGACCTGTGCCTCTACCTGACTCCGGTTACGACAACGAACTTATGAAACAATACCAACGTTACAGTGGGGATTTCAATCAGCCGCTTGGAAATATGCATATGAAGGTAAATACATATTGTGTACCCAATAACATTCAATAGATGTTTTAGTGTTGGTTTCTGAGACCAAAAGCTCTGTTTAAATTAGGTGCGATTACTAAACTATTTCTGAACACCCTTTATGCATATTATTTTGTTGGTTGGGACGACATTTATAGCCCTTTTTTAATTGATTTGAATTCAATATATATATATAAAAGAAAATCGTGTTAGTTACACTATTTATAACTCATGAACGGCTTTACCGATATGGATACTATTTATTCTTTTTTTTATTTTTTTTCGAATTTATGCCTCGATGAGCTACTTTTTATTTAACTTACTAATATTACAAATGCGAATGTTTAGATGGATGCGATGCGGATGGATGGATGGATGTTTGTATAATAGATATCTCTAGAACGGCTCAACGGATCCCGATTAAATTTGACATACGTATAGAACATATTCTGAAAGAACACATAGGCCACACTTATTGAGTTTCTTTATATATCCACGCGGGCGGAGTCGCGGGCGACAGCTAGTTTATATTTAAATCAGTAATTTCGTTGAAAATAATTTACAAAATAGAGTAGTAATTTGACTCAATACTTTTCAGTGTCAATTAAACATATAGACAAACTGTAAACTGCACTTAATTCCATTGCAACAATCCGTACTGATGTCGGTCAGTGTACAGTCAGCTGCACAAATATTTATACATTTACCTCAGAAACTCAATAATATACAGGGTGTCCCAAAAGGTTACGTATATGGGAAGGGGGATGATAGGGGTGGTCACAAGGGCCACCAGAAAAATAAAATAAAAATTCCCCTCTGGGTATTAAAAAAATTAAATGGCATTTTATAAAAACTTAAAAATTTTACACCTTCTGGGGCAATTTTGTAACCGATGACCTACAAATATTGCTATATTTAAAAAAAAGCTAATATGTTATCGTCAATAACCCTATCAATATGAAATAAAAAAAACAATACAATAAAGATTTTTATTTTATTTTTCTGGTGACCCTTGTGACCACCCCTATCATCTCCCTTCCTATGTACGTAACCTTTTGGGACACCCTGTATAGGAGGTATAAATGTATCTGTCTTTATAGTTCTGACCATGAATACCTTGGTTTTTGAGGATTTATGCATACATAATTTTTAAATCGACAGCCTAAACAAGTTTCTAAAGATAATTGTATAAACATTTATGCAGCTGAGTGTACATATCACTTTAATGGTAGCGAGCTTCGCATTTCATTTGTTTTGTCAGTGCAGACTGCGATACTTGGAAGTGGACATTAATTTGCCGTCGAGTGTAGCCACTATGTTATTATGCGCATACAGTAATGCCTCTTTAGTTATGTATAAAAAGTCAATTTGCATGAAGATGCGCTTTTATAAACTTGTGGTCGACCGAGACAACAGTTTTAACAGTGGTAGAGCCCGCTTTAACATCTTCGCACGAATAGGCTCGGCTCGCCCGGTGAAATACCACGACCACACAGAAGACAGGCGTCAAGTGGAAGCAATTCCAAATACAGTCTGATGAGTGTGCGTCCCGGAGTCCTTATTTAGTCCTCTTTCCCTTTCTACGCTTTTTCTTATAAGGAAAGGATGGCAAGTGGAAGTGGACTTTCCGGATGCGAGGATGCATGGAAAGGGATATTTTCTTTCTGAGCATCCTCTTCTCCGTCGATTAAAGGTAGGCAACGCATATACAATTGCGTATATCTATGGGCAACGATCACTTCGTTATTTCAGCGATATCAGGTGGCCGCTCGCTCGTTTGCCACCTTATGATATAAAAAAAATCTTGATAAATGGGTTAGTTAGAAGGTAACTGCTAAACTGCTACCTGGATTTCGCTAAAATTCGGCAAAAATATATAACATAGTCTGGAGGAACATATACGCTACACACTAACTTTTTATTTAATTTCGTGTGGACAGAGTCGCGCGCGACATCTAGTTGGTTACGAATATTGAAGTGGTATTTTAATTCTTGCCCTCTTTAATAGATGAAACCATAAACAATAAAAATTCCATCGACTAAATGATTACTTCAAACCTTATAAGTTGTACGTGACAAGAAATGTAATACGTTTTAACACGTAATGTAATTCAACGTCGTGTCCCGTGAGACAAAAGATTATTAAATAGAATCGTTTTTAAGATAATTACTCACACACTGATGTAATCCAACATTGTTATTTATTCGCACGGTTTTGTTTCACTTTCGAGATTTCTAACCGTTGGTTTCTGAGACTAAAATCTTACTAATATTATAAATGCGAATGTTTAGATTGATGGATAGATGGTTGTCTGTTTGAAGATATCTTAGGAAAGGTTGAACGGATCTCGATTAAATTTGGCATAGATAGTGTGGAAGAACATAGGCTACTTATGAACTTTGTTTCTAATTCCGCGCGGACAAAATCATATCGTCATTCGCGTTACTATCTTTGACAAAATAGAGATAGCAATGTGTTTTGGTCTCGGAAACCCACGATAAGTATTTTAAGCTTCGTGAAATGAAACGATATTTTTCTGCTTTATTATGCAATTTAATAAGATTTAAGGTTCATCTAAGGAGGTTAAGAATGTTCTTATGCGACTCCAGTCTTCGCGTAGCATATACGACATTTTTTTTTAATGTCAAACTGATCTACTACGGCTTCTTCAACATATAAAGCTAATTATGGTACTTTCTTAATAATATTATTGAAAAAATATTAATTAGTAGCCTATGTGTTTTTCCAGACTATGTTCTACATCTATGACAAATTTCAGCGAGATCCAGGCAGCGGTTTTGAAGACACCTTCTAGCAAAGATCCATCCATCTATCTAAACATTCGCATATAAAATATTAGTAAGTTTAAAAGACTCTTTTTACTAGGCTCAAGGTCAAAGCAACGGTTACGTGCCATACGTAGACTACGCGCGGGACTACGCACCTCCACTGACTTCAGATTCCCTCTCCGGGTCCTTGTCTAGAAGTACTGATGAGTCAACTTACCTTAGTCACTGCGGATCACTTCGAAGGCAAAGCAGTAGTGGTAGATTGGGTGGATTAGTTGGACCTGATCGTAAGTTTTTTTACATTATACTCCGCAATAAATCTTCATGTAATTTTTATTACAAACTCTCCACTCGTTTTGCTCACGACCACACAGAAGACTGTATAACTTGCATCTCTTTCAATGAGTTTGTTGTAATTTTTCAAGATGTTTTTTTAATCATCAACGTTCTCATTGGTCAATTAATTAGAAGAAGGTCAATTTTATAATCTTATTTTGTTAATAGTAATACCAATGGGTAATCCGGGAGTAGTTCTCGGCGGTGGCTTGGATGTGAGATATGCAGCGACATACGGCAACCCTTACTTGAGAGCTAGTGGTCCTATAGGTAAGTCTAGATTTTAGTATCTTTCTTATCTGAATTTAAGCTTTAGCGATGTTTTCTGTTCATTTCATCTCATTATATGTCCCCCCTAAGGGGCTTGGAGCCTACCTGAAGTTAGGTGACTATGTCGTAGTCAACCACGCTGGCCAAGTGCGGGTTGACTGCACACATATCTTTGAATTCCTTCTCAGATATGTGCAGCATCACGATTTTCCTTCACCGTAACAACGTCGGATAAATGTACATATGTAAATCGGAATTTTAAAAACACATTGGTACATTGGGATTCGAACCAAGGACCTGCAGATTACTAGTCAGGTGCTTAAACCCATGAGCCACATACACTCATTTGGTAAATTATATTATTCCTGTGACATCTTTATTCTATTAATTTTTTTAAATTATTCCTACTTTATTCGTATTTAACATCTTTACGTATTTTAGCGTATGCAGCCCACCCTAATACAGCCCCCGCGAAGTCTGCACCACCCCCATACTATACCCTTAGAAGTAATAACCACCCTCCAAATGGTAAGTACAAGCTTAAAAGAAAATAGTTAAAAAGACTTGAGAAAGGAATTGAAGATATAGCGTTTTTATGTCTACAAAACTCAGTAGGAAAAATATTTAAATGAGTTTTAAGAAATAAAACTATTAAGTGTTATATTTACTATACAATTTAATTAAATATAAGACAATATTCCTTTCTATACAACTTATTATTTTAAATAAATAAATACTAATAATTATATCGACACTTATTAAAATACCTGGCATTTGAGTTGGCACGTCGGTAACAAGAGTATTCTTTTACCCGACGTGCCAACATAGAGTCCTTGTATACAATCTTTTATAACTCATAGTTTATTGTTTGATCAGTTCCAAATGTGATATCACCGTCTTCATCATCATCATCTCGGCATGTCACCAGTCCGTTAGCGTCGTCATCATCAACAAGCAGCGCTCAGCCACAAGTAAGTGTTGTCTATAACAAAAAAAAACATAATAAGAATTCACGCACTTTTTTTATTATGCAAATAATCCGAATTTAGTCCTCTTTCCTATAATAAAAGGATGGAAAGGGACAGTAGATTGAAAGAGGGGACTCATAGGAAGGGAAAATAAGCTCTTTCTGTGTCTCCTCCTCCGTCGATCAAAGGTAGACAACGCATCTGCAATTGCGGCTGTTTATGGGCAGGTCGCTTTGCTATTTCGGCGGACTTAGGTGGCCGCTTACTCGTTTGTAATCTTATAATATAAAAAGTCAATGCTAAGTGTTGATTTGATTGTTGTACAGGTTCCTAAAGCATCGCCGCAGTCTACAGGAGCTCTATATATTCTCCCACCGTCCAGTCAAGGAAATCTACAGTCTTGTCAGATTACCAAAGGTATGAGAGTTTACTAAAACTTAACTTACTTATATTATAAATGCGAATGTATGGATGGATGAATAGATGGATGTTTGTTTGAAGGTATCACATGGGCTGCATGGATCTTGCTGTAATTTGGCATAGATGTAGAGCATAGTCTGGAAGAACATATAGGCTTTTTTTGTGACGTTTTTTTTAAATTCTGTGCGGACAAAGTCGCGGGCGACGGCTAGTAAATAATTAAAGTCATTTTGCTGCACATATTGTGTACAGTCGTGGACATTTATTTGCTGACCATTTCGGTGAAACATAATTTGACGTCGACAATGTAATTAGGTCGTAGTATTTTCATAGCAATGTAACGTGCTAAAATATGCATAATGCCAGTCTACATTACGCCAGTACAGTAAGACAGTTGCGCTAAAATCCAGCGTTTGCATACTGCACTAAGTAAGCTAATAAACTCCATGCTATGCCAGTACTGCTGTCCTACTGTCCTGGAACAATGTTAACCAGGCATTACCGTAAAATTGGACTGCCAATAAATACATTTAGTAGTTTTTTAACTGACAAAGAGAATGACAGTACGACAATGTATGACAAGATGACAAGTGTCACGGTTACGGCGACAGTTTCCTATGATGTTCGATTTTAAGTGGGAAGCTAATTAATTTCTTTCACTGTAAATGTTCATAAAGTTAATTTTAAAATTGCATTTCAGGTAATGGGTCCCATTTGGCAGCCGGTACTCACGTGTAATTAATAAAGTGTGTAGTTAGGTTTGAAAATGTACATTTAATTAAAAAAAAATAACTGAACACCCTTTGATACATAAATATGTACAGAGTGTTATTTTAAGAAACAGTGAAGTGTTTCAAAAGACATTTATTTTGACTATTTGATCTCGTGTTTAGTTTAAGTTTCAAGACACGTTAGGGTTTTTGCATGCTTTCTGGAGACTAACGTGTGTTGCCGTTATAATGGATAGTGCGAACGGAAAGAACTTGTTAAAAGAAATGTAGATATAAGAATAATTAGAAATGGCATTCAAGAAAACAAAATTATATTCCTACAAAATGCGACTTTAGCCTTAACGTGGATTTCCTCTGACGATACATATAAAAACATCCGATCCACTTTATTTCTAAAATAGGATTATCTTTTAGTAAATGTTTATCGACAGTGGAAACGCACTGTAAGCCAATAAATTTATAAATACTTGGCTTATAAAACAAATTCTTTTAAAATTTCGCTTTGAATTTGTTTTCAAATGAGCCTAAAATTAACGAAGCTTTAAATACAAAATGGCAAAGAATAATAAACCTTAAGGTGATTGAAATAAGAGTCTTTTTTATAAATTAATATTTTTTAAGTTATCATTAAAATGTAAAACATTAATACATTTCTTCGTAAAATCCTTAAATATGTCTTTTTTTTAGGTCAATGAGATAAAGATAACAATTTTGTAACTATTAAGTAAGTAAAAACTCAAGGTAAAAGATTTAAGGGTTTTACTTTTATTTTCTTAAGACTGATTCTAAGATTTAAATAATTTAATTGTTTATAATTGTAAGTTATTAATAAATCCGTTCCTGTCTACCCGTTTTAAGGTCTGTGAAAATTAGAAGATTGATTTAGACCAAGACAAAGTAAATATTCGAAACTTCACGATGAATTGTCGTCGAAAGTCGTCTCGGTGAGTACATGCATAGCGACTACATGTCAACTGTATTGATTTGTTTTATCTTGAAAATCACGGCGAAGTTTCTCACGACGATGACACAAAGGTAACTAGCGACTAACTTTAACCTCTATGAATGGGTATCGCGCCGCTTAGCGACTTAATCGCGAGGATTCGAAGTATTTACATTGCCTTCTATTGCCTGACAGCTATATTACATGTTTGATTTTTTAATAATACAATACCACACTCAGCACTGTTTATTGGTTATTTATCTAGACTAAGGGTCTCCTTTACTAACCCTTAAATGTCTCTGTGTAAATATTGATTTAACATTTTGTATATCGACCAAAAACTTCTAAACACTGCCTGTTGTGTATATTTTAAGTTACGAAAGATTTTTAGTATAATATGTATAAGATGTGTTGAATCTGCTAATAAAATAGAAAGAATTTGTGTCTTCGTATTTTATTGTTAAACCTATCGTATTTATATTGATAGATGAAACATCTAAAATTTCTTTACAATGGTCGACACCGTATGTACAATCGGGGAATCTGGCGGTGTTCTAAATCCCGACGCGGTACAATAAGCAATAGGATGCAGCTTTTAAATGTGTATGCAAGAAAAAGGTCGGTCAGTGCTTCACGGCTTTTGTTATGGCGAATTTTGTGAAATTCATCATCAATGTCCCCACCGGTGTCGGTGTCTAACCTAAGTTTAAGGGTGGTTAGGCCATAGTCAACCACGCTGGCCAAGTACGGGTTGGTTGACTTCACACATATCTTTGAATTTCTTCTCAGATATGTGCAGGTTGAATCACGATGTTTTCCTTCATCGTAAGAACGTCGGATAAATGTACATATGTAAATCGGAAATCGAAAAACACATTGGTACATGGCGGGATTCGAACCCAGGACCTGCAGATTGTAAATCAAGTGCTTGACCCCTGATCCACCGACGCTCACGTGCGAAATTCACTGCAATCTAATTTGTTATTTGTAAAACTAGTTTTTCTCAAGGAACAATGCAATTCTATAAGTAGAACACCGCGGATTTCCGCGACAGTACATTCGATGTAATCCACATCAATGTACTCCATACATCTCTATCGGCCGTCATATCTGAATTCAGCCCTTTATTACGCATATCTTTCACACAATCCATTCCTTTACTGTTGTAGCATTTATTAATAAATTAATATTTCCCAATCAACTTGATTTTCCTTTGTTTTCATATAAAATGAAATCTATTATTCTATCTGCTATAAAAACAGAATTAAACGGAATCAATTAGTGAGCTTCAGAGCTTAACTAAAGCTATTATTTACTTCTAAACAATTTAGTGCAATGTTTACTTTATCGGATCGAGCTGGCCTTTTCTTAAGCTATGATAAGGAAAATAGAATCCATTCAAAACAACTAGAGTTCGACGTTTAATTAGAAATTCAACTAAAATCTTTGGAGTTTAGAAATAAGTTCTTTCTAAGAATAATTTCATTTTCAGTCTTATTACATTTCTTCTATCTCTTTTTCTAGTCCTTTTTTAGTCTCCTTTCAAATATGGCCATACCTTAATAATATTAATGCGAATGTTTGGATATATAAATGGATGCGATGTTTGTTAGAAGGAATCTCCAGAATGGCTGCATGGATATCGCTGTAAATTGGCATAGATGTAGGAGACATTCTGGAAGAAAATATAGGCAAGTTATTAAGTTTTTTTTTAGACGAAGTTGCGAGCAAAGCTTTATCTTTAGTAATATAAATGCTTAAGTAATGCGGTTTGTCTGTTCGTTTGTCCTTCTTTTACGTAAAAACTAATGGACCGATTTATTGAAGTCTACTCTTCTCTTCTCAGTTCTGTTCTTAGTTCTGTTCTGTCTGTTTGTTCCGATTAATCTCTTAAATGGTTGGACCGATTTTGACGGGACTTTTATTACGGATGTAATAAGGAAAAACTAGGCTACGTTTTTTTTTTAGAAAAAATGAAGCAATGTTGTAATATACAAGAACTGTTCAGTACCGCGCGCAGCTCAAAGTATATATTTCAAGCGGACGAAGTCGCGGGCACAGCTAGTGCGTAAAAATGGCAACCTTCATAAATTAATTTTATTTTGGTAATTAAGATACTTTAATGTAAAAATAAACTTACTGTTTATATACTATTATATATGACAGCTAACCGGAAGAGGATGCGCTAGACCGCCATCTCGAAAACGGAAATGCTATTCGCGACCACATCCGGTCGTTGTAATGTTTGCCAACTATGAAAGCCATTGTGGTTATTGTTGACTAACAACATCCGGATACAGACGCGTGGATTGTGGAAACGGGGATATTTTTCACTTGTACAAAAAAATATTTTTATGCCAAAAAAAAAATGATTACAAAATAAATCACATGATTTTAAATTTTCTTCATAATAACTTTCGAATACTGTTTCTTACTAGACCAAAGAATCCTCTAAATATAATTTATTCTGATCCTATAAAGAAAATTTATATTTCATATTAGCTGTCGCCCGCGACTCCGTTCCCGCGGGATTAAAAACAGATGTTGGCAGATTCTCAGACCTAGTCAATATGCTCACAAAATTTCATGAGAATCGGTCAAGCCGTTTCGGAGGAGTATGGGAACGAAAATTGTGACACGAGAATTTTATATATAAGATGAATTCCATTTTAATATTTTATATTCCAACACCCTGTATAAACATATTACAATATTCAACTAGAAAAATAAAACTGCAAAAGAACAGCAAGTGCTCCAGAAAAAAGCAACTTTAAACTTCGTAAAATATTGAGTAACTATTGTTCACTTTCTTACAAATACGTTGTGGCCACTAAAATGGCGTAAAATGAATATTTAGTACATTTCTTATCCAAAATAAAAATTATCCAAAATATATTATATTAAAAATAGAGCACCACCAGCTGCGGAATCCCATGACTCAAACAACCAGTGGTCAGGGCTAAAGAGACAGTAACTTTCTCACGATGCGCGCGGTTTCTAGGATAACTGCCTTTTGTATGTGGCCCTTAATCCAACTGTTTAGCGAGAGCTTCTTAAGATGTTGGTCGAAGCTATTCGCTATCAGTCGATTCACCGATACGACAATCGGAATAATGGAATTATTATTAAGGAAACAAACTACTGGACTAATAATGCATAAGTCTTGTGTGATTTACATAATTAAAGTACCGGTGATCGTTGAGACAGTTCAAAAAATATTTTATAGTTAAAAAAGGAATATTTAAAAAATATCTGAAAACTTGGATAACTGATAAGCTTTTATACGAAAACGTTTTAAAAAAATTGTTAGTTTAAAATTAAAACATAAGTATTGAATTATTATCAGTTGCAAATAAGAAAGTTCGATCGAAAAGGTAATTCGCAATACCAAGAAATTCAAGACTGACGTATTGAGTGTGTAAATCAAAGTATTCAGATTTGTCAAAACTGTAATTTATTGTTAAATGTTAATAGCTTACGCTTCTACAATATAAATATTATATTTTCACACACGCCTTCTTTATGGCCCACACTCGAGTGCCTCTTAAGATCCGTAGCGTAGTGTCCGCTGGAGACATGTCGGTCGACGTTCATTGTTTTACTCCCTTATGGTTCCTCTTAGCCGAAACAAGAGCATTCAGCTTTTGTTTGATGTTATTTAGATGATCTACTAACTTGACTCTTACACTATATTAAGGTACTATGTACATGTTTAGCCTTTTAGGCAAAGATAAGAAAAGGATGGAAAGGGGATTTGATGGCTATGGAGACGAATAAAAAAGGGAAATATTCTCTTTTAGTAAGTCTTCTCTTACATCAAAGGTATGCAATGCATCTATAATTATGGATGTCTACGGGCAGCGGTCGCTTTGCCATTTCGGCGAATTCAGGAGACTGCTTGCTCGTTTGTCTTTTAATATATAAATGGTTTTGTATAGGGATTAAATAAATATAGACCCGTTCAACTAAATATTTCCTGAAGGACATATCTATGAGATTCATAAGTTATTTAAATATATTTCTATTTATGTAATAAATTTACATAACGCGGAAATAAAGCGGACGTGTTATGCCCGCGACCACATCCTTTACTTGTAATGTTTATTATTACTGCGTAGATATGAACAC